ACACACACACACACACACACACAGAATTAATGTACAAAAGTTTACACACAGGAGATGTGTAATCAGATTTCTGCTCTGCCATTAACTTTATTTTGAAAGGATTATTTACTTATTTGAACTGCTTTATTTTGGTTTGTCAGCGTCAGAGCAGAATGAGCCGTTAAGCTTCTCCTCACGATATCACCATGTCTGAGGTCGATGGTGGAAACCAACAAATTTAGAAGCAACATGCAGTTGTTTTAAAATCTACATGTCGCCTGGTTTTGTCTCGTTTATCCAGCTGCTGCCTGCAGATGTTGTCCTGTGCAAACATGTAAATCAGGTTGACATGATGTTTGAGAGATCAGCTGACTGTAACCTGGTTACTAAAGCGCATGTAAACACACTGAATCTGGAGGAGCAGAGTTCAAGCTTCTGACCCTGCTGAAATATCTTCAACCCCTCCAGCTGCTGCTGCTGCTGACCTCTGACCTCCCTGAGGAAGCGGCACAGTTCAAATACATAGGTGGTTAAACACAGATGTTTCTTGCTGAGCTCAGGATTCAACCTGATGCTGAATTTCCACCTGTTCTGTTAAAATGGTGCTCTGTGTGAAAATGGAGTGGGAGGAAGAGGAAGAGGAGGAGGAGGAGGAGAGCTGAGCACAGCGTCATTTCAGAATTGATCAGAACTGTACAACAAAAAGAAAAAAAAACAAAAACATAACAACCCATAACAAATCTGTACAAATGTACAAAAAAAAAAAAAAAAAAAAATAAAAAGGATTAAAAGATTCATTTTAACACATCCGTGGATCCGACAGTACGAAGTCACGACTCGACCTCGATCAGAGTCCATGTGCCGACTTTGTTAAGTGCAATCCACAGCAAACCTGAGGCCGGGCTCCGTGCCGCCGCCGCCGCCAGCACCTCGGCCACAGTGAGTATAAAGGACAGCTGGTTAGTGATCAATACTCTGTTAATTTCTCCAATCACTTATGTTGCTTTTATTGCAGTAACATGAACATTAACAGCAACGTAAATCTAAAGAAATAAAAAGACATTAAAAAAAAAAAAAAAAGATCCCTTTCTGCTGCAGTTCAGACTCGTCACTACAACCTCGTCAAAAATGCTAATAATGCTAATTAGTGACTGTGTGGAGTGATAATGCCCCGACTGGTTAAAGTCAAGATAACACTCACACACACGTCGTCCCTGTTTCATCTCAGGTAAAGAAGCAGTAAAAAAAAATTTCCTCACTTCCTGTTTCCACTAAAATTCTCCTCTGAAGAGTTTCGTTCCAAAAATAAAAAATAAAATAAAATAAAATAAACACACCTCCACGCTAACCTGAGCTGCAGTCATTAGATTTCCAGATAAAAAGAGAAACCTGAACACAGGCTCCATCACAGCTCGACTCTCTCCACCCGCCTGGAAAAACACATTCTTCCACTGAGGCGACGACGACGACGACGATGATGATGATGATGGGGACACACAACGTCCTCGTCCTCCTCATCATCATCATCATCATCATCATCACCACAGCCGACTGAGAGTGCGCCTCAGATCCAGCCGGGTGCGACAGGGCCGTCTGCGCTGAAGGAGTTTCGGAACAGATTCACTTCAGATCTAATCAACGCCTCCGTCCGCACCGAGTCCAGAGCTGTGACCCAAATCACCTCCGTACCAACTAGATAACACACAATTACTCACTCAGTGTCCAGAGGAAAGCAAATGGAAACAATTTTGATTTTGTGCCACAACCCCCCCCCCCCCCCCAAAAAAAAACAACTGTGGGAGTTTTTGAGGCCGTATAAAAAGCACGACAGGAAGTAAAGTGCACTATATAGTGATTAGGGAGTGATTTGAGACACAACCGTGATATTAACACACAGTCATTGTAGATGTCATTTGACGACTGCTGTCGAGCTGTGCTGTGCAGGAGCGGCGTGTTTCTGTGCGTCCATGTTGAGACGGCGGTGTGTTCGGACCATCTGGTTTAAGCCAAGACGTCGCGAGTGTGTGTTTCCCTTTAATTATTTCTTTTATTTGAATGTGTCTCTCCAGGAAATACAGGGGGGGGGGGCTCAGGGGTCATTACGCCCATGTGTTATGCGCTCGGCCGTGGGGTCGACAGTCCCAGTAGTTTCTACACCTGGTCTGAGACACTAGGAAACCTGAGTGCAGCTGTGAAGACGTCTGGAGACCGTGAGGAAAGTCCAGGGTGACGACTTGAAATGAAAAATAACGAATAATTTCTACTCTATTAAAAGTTTCTGGCTGCTATGGTTATCCATGCTGACTTTTAAGACTGTAACCACATTTTTGGAACAGCAGTAATGTAGGTCAGGTGGGTTTTTTTTCTCTCTGTCTCTGAGTGTGAGATGAGTCACTCCTGCCTGTGGTTGTTTAAAAAGGAACCAAACTCTTCAGAGGAGTCAGTGGGAAGAGAAACTCCTAAACCTGATGACATGAACATCTGTGAGACAAGCTGCAGCTGGATCCTGCAGGTAGCTCATCAGAGGCCTCTTTCGATTCCCGGTTTTTCAGCGGCTGATCACATGATCCGGGTCACGCACGCCCACACACACACAAACACACACACACACAAATGTCACATGATCAGTAGACTGTGCTTTTTCAAAAGGAAAGTGGGGGTAGTGAAAAAAAAAAGGAAGGAAGGAAGAGAGGACACAAGGAAGGAAGGAGGTTAAACGACGACTGCGTTTGTTTCGCAACACGGCGCGACCCTCTGACCTGAGCACAGGGAGGAGTCAGCGACGCCGACTTCCTGGTTCAGTCCAGTATATCCACTTCAGCTTAAGGAGGAATTACACAGACTGTGATGCAACAGCACGATCGCGCGATTGCTAAAGAAAACACAACGCAGGCCCCAACGCTTCCACTCATTATCAATGATTCGTTATTGCATTTCATTCATTCACTCGACACAATCACCCTCACTGCTGCTCTCTACTCTAGATTATATTCATATCACCTCTCTGCTCACGTCCAGCCTCAAACTCCTCATCCACCCAACGACATCGAAGCCCGTTCCAACTGCAGGAAGTTAACGACCTGTAACTGTTCTGCTTTTGTTTCCACCGGTTTCTGAGTTGATGTTGCAACGCGGCAAACACTGAGATTAACAGAGCAGGACTTGTGTTTTTAGCTGGTCTCTCTGCAAAAAGAGTCCATGACTGTGAACTGACCGCTTGTTGAGGTGCACACGTTACTGTTTTAACTACAGCTCCTTGTAATGTTTTTGTAGTGTTGGTATATTAGTACTGCACCTGTCATGATGGAGGCAGCCTGTTGCTGTTTATATGGGTGTAGTTTTCCCACCATACTTGTACAGTGTGCATTACTTCTATTTCTTTCTATACTTTCATGTGCAAACTTAACTTTATCCCCTCCTGATCTCTATTTCTAACTGGAGCTGCATTAAACTGGCTCGACACAAAAGGTCCATACAACACATTGTTGACCTTTGGAAAATATGTGCGCTGGCTCCTCTATGAGGTCCAGTCACCCATAAAGGTCGGCAGAGATGTTTACATGTTTACATATCGACTTTGGCAGCAAACTCTACGTTACTGTATTTGATTTTCAGTCTGTTCTGCACCAGATTCTTCAGCTTCACCTCCCTGATTTGACATTACAAAGCAGAAAGAGTCCGACCTGCACTCAGCCGACCGAACGACACATATCCAGTGGAAACAAGACAGGAACTAGAACCAGGTTCTGTTCATTGGAGGCTCCAGATTACAGGTTGTTAAATTCCTGTAGTGGCGAAAAAACAAAAACAAAAAAAAACAAAACACCTTTTAGCAGCTCAATCTCAAAGCCAGCACCAGGTCTTCAACAACTCACATTATTATTCAGTACCAGTGATTGACGCCTGGTTTAAGTGTAGTTTCTGGTTTTCTGTAGTTTCTGGAAGAAGAGGAAAAGGTTGGTAATATCCCTGCTCTCCCTCTTGCTGCACGCTCACGCATTTAAAAAAAAAAAACAAAAAAAACAAACCCAAAAACAAACAATATCTCCATCCTGTGTAATGTGCTTCAGAGCCAACCTTTCATGAAACGCCTGTTTCTGCAGCCTGGATTCATTAGCAAACAACCTTCTTACTGGAGGCTGACCTCAATTTTTTTTATTTTTTTTTTAAAATAAGGCACTACGTGACATTATAGGCAGAAGGTAGAGTTAGTTGTTTTGTTTTTTTTTTGGGAGGGGGGGGCAGCCACTGAGAGACAAACACACTCGCTGTGAGACGAGCTTTCGCTGATTTGTCAGAAGCAACTAGATTAAGTCGACTAGAAAAGCGTAAAATCTACATTTTGTTATTTTGAAAAGGGATCTTTGCTTCAGCTTTTACATTTTGCTGGAAAATCGAGCAGAAAAAAAAAAAAAAAAAAAAACCCAAAACAAAACTAAACACCAAACTTGTGTGAGAAAAAAAAGCCCCACGTTTGGTAGAAAAACCTGAAGGATAGAGGAGATAAAAAGGTTAGAGCCCAAACATTTGCTTTTTCCCTGCAGAAATTAAGAGCAGTCACCTCGTGTAGTTCATGGACAGAAAATTAAAAATAATGAGAATAAATGAGTCTTGGGGGGGGGAATTGACGAGGATGAAATTAACTTAAGAGGAGGAGAGGGGGGAGGGAAGCTTCTCATTAGCACCATTGTGTTCTGTAGTGACTAATTGCTGCCTAATTAAGAGTCAAGAGAGGAGGGCGGACTGAGCAGAGTGGAGGCGATGAGCAGACTTTTCCCTCACAGTTCTGCCGGTCACCTGTTCATTCCACATTTCATTGATTAATCACCGTGTTTATCCCTGCTGGAATCAGAGGAGGAAATAAAATTATTTGGTTTGTAGACGAGACTCCGGCTGAATTCATGAATTAATCCTTGAGCGCGATTCGACGATCAGGGAGGAGAAAGAAACGAGGAAGAATCAGAGCGGTTTCCTCCTCGGCGAGGGGACGGGACAGGCCGCCGGGAGGAACGGTTCGTTCCTCAGTCACTGCTGTCGTCTTCGTCCTCGTCGTCCGACAGGTTGTTGAACTTTGACCCCGGCCGGCTGATGGAGTCTGACCGCGGCGCGAGGCTCCCCGACGTCAGCTGCACGTAGCAGTATTCGCAGACTCGGACGGGTTTGGACGACTGGCTGGGCAGGAGGTACTTCTTCTCCGAGCATGGCCCGCACACCACGAAGCCACACTTCCTGCAGTGGTGGCGGCGGCTCACGGGCGTGAACTTCACCTTCTGGCAGCGCATGCACACCGCCGCCTCCGAGTCGGGCACCCAGACGGCGGCGTGCTCTCCGGTGGGAGCCTTGCCGCTTTTCTGTAGCAAGTCTCCCACACATTTCCCTATGTGGTTCATCCACTCCGACTTCTCGGTGGCGGTGGCGGCGTAGACGGCGAAGGACTTGGTGGGCGTCTTGATGAGCCAGCCGTTGCGCAAGTCGCCCTCGTCCGGCACCGTGTCGATGGTGACGCTCTCCAGCGGGATGATGTGCTGCTTGTTGTACTTCTTCTTCTGAATGACGATGTTGCCGTAGACCAGGATGTCGTTGAAGAGGAAGAACTGCCGCGCCTTCGGCTTCTTGCGGCAGAGTTTGGTGAGGACGCCCTCGCCGATCAGCACGCGGCCCGGGATGGCCAGCGGCTGGCCCGCCGCCCCAAAGCAGCCCTCCACCACCGCGATCCGCTTGGAATTGGCCTCGCTGTTCGCAAGCCGGTCCACCATCTTCACCTCACCTGAAGCAAAGAAGAGAGAGAGAGAGGGAGAGAGGTTTAATCATCGGCTCTCAGACTTTCTGTGAATGCTCCTCCGTCCCAGAGCAATTTAATTTAATTTAATTCTCATCAACCATTAATGACACCGGAGAAACTCGTCAGTGCGATAGTTAAATTACATTATGTGGAACTGGATGTTTCTTCATCATGAATCCGACTCCGTGGACACGATATCTCAGTAACGCCTTGCAGGGACGAGGTCAAACTGATTAGATTTTGGTGGCTAAAGGCTAAAGGTCAAGGGTCAAAGTCACGATGACCTCACAAAACATGATTTTCGCCCTGTGAACGCGATATCTCCAGAACTCCTAAAAGGGAATCCCTTCAAATTTTGGCACAAACATTCACCTGAACACCCATCACTCAAGACTTCACTCAGCAGTTATGACGAAATTTCACACAAATGGTGAATATTTTCTGTGACTCTGGATAAACAGGGATGTAACCTGGAACTAGTCTGAGTGGCGGAGGGATACGACCACGAGGAGGCGATTTCTAGTTCCATGTGTAACGGCTCGAAGCCCGTCCAGTTTGAGACAGTGTTCAACTGTAATTCATTCATTTCATAATTCAGCTTTAAAATGCAACAGAGGTGAGAGAGAAACATTTCTTTATGAGTGGTGTATTTTACATATTTCACACAGCCGTTGATAATTAACCAGGTTATTGAGTAAAGCAGGATTCTCCGGTGTCAGCTAAATACTTTAAATTTAAACACAAGGTGATGTGTTTTTTTTTTAACTTTCTACTTTTATTTTGAAACCTAAAATGAGTCACAGTCCTATTCACTGCTGAGTGTTATATCCTGGGAATAAAAACAAATAAAACCGATCAATGAAACTCGTTTAGCTGCAACACTTTCCCCCCCTCTTCCCACAACATCTTGGTTGTGGGAAGAGACTCTTGTTCTTTCCCATGATGCATCTCTTCTTTCACCAGAAACTACCACAGCTGTCCGAGGTCAGTGATATTCTCATTTTTAAATGTAAAAACCCCCGTCACGTCATGTGCTGTCTGGGCGCCACATGATCTGATTTTACAGAACACATCTGTGCGGTTCAGACCGATCACATTGATTAGAAAACGTCTGATCTTTATCACATGTAGCTTCATATTCAACTGAAACTAAATGAGTTTAACAGAATTTCTTATTTCTCTTGTCATTTGGGACCAAAGAGAAAATGAATACCTTTCACAGTTTATGATATTATATTATATATTGCGACATGATTCACAGCCGTTTCTCCAACTAAAATCTAAATCAATCTCCTGGATTTTCTTTGACATTCAAAGTTGGATGGCAAATAATTTCCTTCAGCTTGACAGGAACAGAACTGAAGTAAATTATCTTTGGTCCTATCTTTAGTAACTGATTATTTTATGAACTCGTACGGTGATTAAACTTCACAGGTGCACTTCGTAAATCAAGAAATTAGTTATTAAGCTGTATAATTAGGGCTGCAACTAGTAATCATTTCATTATCAATTAAATGGCTCATTATTTTTTGTCAATTAATCAATTCATTGTGTAGTGTATAAAATGTCAGAAGGTAGATTTTTCTTATTTAAACTTGATAATAATAATGTAATTTGAAAAATATCCGCTGCAGTCTGACTTCCTGCCACGACGCCGTCCCCTGGAGTGAAATGTCAACAAGACAACATGGCTGCCACTTCCAATATTACTACAACTCTTTTACGGTTTTCCGAGCCCTCATTCAGTACACAACAGTACTGATCATTTCCCTCAGATGAACAGCATCAGAACTGAAGTAAATTATCTTCGGTCCGTCCGAGTCCAGAAAGTCACATGCTGGGTTGTCGTCTTCGGTTCTGATCTCTGTCTCTGTTTTATCAGTTAAGACCCATTTCCAAACTATTTCATCCCCCTGTATTTATCCCTTCCCCAGTCTCCATTAACCCGCCTGCAGATGGTCCTGATTGCTTTCAGGGCTCTTAATGGTCCGTCCCCGTCTTCCATCACAGACCTTATTCACTGGCACTCAGCTCCAAGGTCTTAGATCCGACAACAAATCTTTCTCGTCTGTCCCACGGTCACGACTACGACTAAACAGGTTACGGAGCTTTTGCAGTTGCTGCCTCATGATTGTGGAGCCATTTACTGTTAAGATATTGGATGTGCTGCCTCCATCTCTGTTTTTAAACCTAAAAACACATTTCATTCTCTGGCCTTTTTGGGCCACACTTTTCTATTCTGTATCTGTCCCCTGCAGTTTATTGTTGTTGTTGTTGTTGTTGATGGGTTTCTCTCTTGTTGTGTCTGACCAACAGTGAGTTTTTTGACATTTTATAAACAAAACGATTCACTCATTAATTGAGAAAATAATCAGAACTTTACTTAATAGTGGAAATATGAAAATAATTGTTACTTGTGGCCGTAGACAAAGTATTATTTGTGCATGCAATGGGATATTCTCTGTATCTTTTCTTAGAAACAGCTAATGATTAGCGGTCCAAACATTTCTTACTCCAACCTGAACTACAGATTTAAAAGCTAATTGAAAGAACGGCTCTGGAGGGGAAAAAAAAAACAAAAAAAACTGACCACACAAACAACATGTGCAATGTGGAGAATGAACAGCTTCCTTCAGTGTTAATTTGGACTGCAAGGTCAGTACATCTCAGATTCCTCAACATTCACCAGGCTTTTATAAACTGGCACGTGGAATCTGAAAATAAAGGTTTCAGTCTCAAAGACTCCAGAGAGAGAGCGGGAGAGCGGGAGAGAGCAAGCACCAGCTCTGCCGCGACCCAGATGCCCCACCTCCCCTTCGGCTTTTCTTACAGCATGACAGTGGAGGTCAAAGTTCACTGACGATATAGATGGAAGGGTGCTGGGGGTCTCTGGCGAGCCTCGAGGCTCAAGCGCAGAGCCGTGACCTCAGAGAGATGCTCAGATCACGTCCACTGCGAAATACATAAACCGAGATCAGAGAGAACACAAGTCAGATGAGCTTCTATCTCTTGACTTGTTGTGAATATGGTTCACAGCGTTGTTCTGCGTTCCTGATGCTTTCCGCTTTCTTCCCTAATGGACGCTGCTGCTGCTGCTGCTGTTGTTTTCAAACTTAAATGGAGTGGGCCTCGAAATACTGCAGACTAACTAACACAGCACCACCAGGAGCAGGAAACATCACCGCAGTCAAAGCAACAGCTGAACACTGTCAGTTTAAAAGAGGTTCTGTTTATTATAGGACTGTTCTACTGGATTGCAGCAGTGTATAGTCAGTACTTTATGTGTTCAGTTATTTATTTCCACTTGACATGTTGTTATTGTCATTCTCACTAGAATATTACAGGTTTTGTTTTGCACCATTGTTGATTGTTTTTTCTTTTCACTGATGTTGTTTCCTCATGTCATTGTTTTTTTTGTTTTTTTATTGAATTGAAGTGAATAACAGAAGATTTAAAAACAGTTTTAGTGGATTTATTTATAATGATTCATGAAATGACAATGTGAAAACAGTCTGTGGGAGTGATGAACCTGCAGAGAATCATCAGCTGAATCAGCTCCACTCGGCTTTACAGAGCTTTATAGTGAGTTTCAGCTCATTGTTTATCCGTCTGGACGGTCAGTACTTTGCTGTTCGGGTTCAGTCTCTCCGCTCTCATAGCCAACAGCTGTTTACAAGAGAAACATCTGTAAAAAGACACTGTCCTCTACCTTCTCAAAACACCAGCTGGAGAACCAGGCTGAGAAGTTGTGGCAAGTTTTTTCTCACAATAAACAAGTTACTGTTTTGACTTTCATCTACGAGCACTTGTTTGTTTGTCAGTGGGTGGACTGCACTTACACAAAGAAAACAAAGTGTAGGTGTGACTACCCTTTTGGTTTGCTGCCCCTTTTTTTTTCCTTTTTAAAAACCACAGAGCTAGAAACGATGCTAATTAACCAGGATGCCAGTGCAGCCTGGGCCGGGCTCCCCAGTGATCTGCACACTAATGACCCCGAGAGTGAGCCGCTGCTGCTGAAAGCCCTGGAGAGGACAGGGGGGCTCGCTGACACGTCAGCCCTGTTAGCGAGGGCTCGCTGCCCACTGCTGAGGGAACTGGGCGACCAGCTCCCATCAGCAGACAGACAAGGGGTCTGGAGAGAGAGAGAGAGAGGGAGCGGCATGAATACAGGCTGGAGGCTCCCGACCCAGTAATCAAAACGAGAGAGAGAGAGAGAGAGGGACGAAACAGACTGAAAATACAAGAGGAGAAACACAATGAGCTTTCTTCACCGTGCAGCGACGAATGAGAGTGATGAGCTTCATGAGCGAACAGAGGACGACTGGGAGGAAGAAAAGAACGAAGGCAAAATTACGGCTGCACAGTTAATCCAAATATAAATCGCAATATGTGCCAAGTGCAATTTCCAACAACACTGTTAGCACCATAAGTGTTGTGGTGCCTCGGCCTACGAATCATATTCTCCAGACGTAAAGGGAACATGTTTGTTTGGTACAAGACCAACAACAATTACATCATCGTCATTTTAATATTTTTTTCAGTGAAAATGGAAAACAACTATTCCAACTGAAACCTGCCAAAAAATAATCGCAATATGATTTTTTTTTTTGCATATCGTTAGCATCCTGGATAATCCAATACATCCAATTAATTAATTAAATAGCATTTTATTATCTCATTCTATGGTCAAACTTCACAGGTGCACTTTGTAGATCAAAACCCATCAGCTGATCAGGTGCAGATTACGGCTAATAGCAACAACTTCTAATTTGTTATTAAACTATGTAATAGGGGCTGCAATTAACAATCATTTTCATTATCAATTCAGTCTGCAAAATGTCAGATAATAATGAAAGGTCCAATACAACTAAAAGTCCAGAACCCAACGATTTCAATTTAAAATGTTGTAAATCAAAAGGAAAACGGTTTGAAAAACAACTTAAACTGTTGATCTATATCAATATACAATATGACACTGTGATGAT